TCGAGGCAAGATGTTGAACAGCCAGCAGAACTCGTGTTTGCTCTTGGTTGTTGTCTGAAGCAAGTCCCGAAGCAGAGGGCTGCAGCAATATCTCATCTGACTCCGTGGGACATGCTTCTGTCAGGAGTTTCCCCATGGTAAAATCTGTGGCTGGACTGAAGATACAAATAGGAGAGCATTGGGTCAGAACAACAAGGTGGACACAAGAAGAGAAGACACCAAAATACAAGAACATAAGGAATAACTAAAGAAATTACCTCAGCGTGGAGAAATAAGGGGGTTAAAAGTAGTAACTATTCAAAGACTTAGCATGAGGAAGGGAAGTGTGCAGGGGTGAGCAGGGTGAGGTTCGAGAAGAAACAAATGAAAAATAGTCACGCAGGAAGTTAAATAGTTTTTCTATATTCTGTAGAAGAGCAGTACTGAATGCTATGGAATAGCAATAAGAAGGATCTTTTTTTGAATGCATAGTGAGTTCCAGTGTAGCATGGCTACATCTGATTTTTTTGTTGTCGTTTTTGTTGTTCTGTAATATTTTTAAAAGGGAAAGGGTGGAGAAAGAGTGTTTTTTTTACATTGCTATAATGTCAGATCTACTACAGATAAGTGTTACCTTGTAATAGTCCACTTGGTTTTGTTTACGCTGGAGTTAGCCTGTGCCTGCTATCTAGCTGGGGAAGAATTCTTGGGTTTTTTTGGGGGCATGTGATAACAATGACTTGTTACTAATAACATTTTCTTAATCAGTAGATAATTATTGTTCCAGCCATTCTTGGCTTTCCTTTTCCTTCCCCTACATCCTCCTCTCCTTAACCCTTCCCCTCCCTGCCCTTGGCATAATTTCTAAAATACATAGGGTATTAAACTGTTATTTTTTTCCATCTGATATTGTGGTCTGTTGCTGGGTGGGACTGACTGATTCAGGGTGAGTTGGAAAAGAGCATCGGTCTCTGGAATATCTCATTTTCTTCAATGAGATAGCTCTGTCCTTCTAGAAAAGGTGGTGTGGTTTTTTGTTTTTTTTTTTAATAAATTAAGGGATTTTATTTAGCTTCAAACTCATACTAGGAAATTAAATGGCAGGGCATATTAGTCGTCAATGTGTCAGCTTGTTGTTGCACATACATTGTAATGCTTTGATTAGGCTGCTGTGCTACCTACCAGGTGGGGAAGGCAAAGAGTATTTTAGCTTTTGGGCATTTTTTTAAATGAATATTTATGACCAGTGTAATCATGTTGTATACTGGTATAACACTTCTCATGTTTGGGATTAGTCCACCTCTAGCTATTGACTACTAAAGAACCAAAGTATATCCGACCCTTGTCATTTGTATTGCTGCTTACTATCAATATGCTTGAGTCCCTTCAAAAATAAAGCTGATGGGAGCAGTGAAGTCCAAGATGGATTTCTTTTTGTTCGGTCTCTGATAATGTGGGAAGAGAATGTAGTATTTATTTGGTTTTGGGAATTTCCTGTTTATAACTATTTTCTTACTGGTTTTTATAATATAATATTTTAATACATTTAAAGATAAATATCTTAATATTTTTCTTACTATTTCTTATTATTTTAGCTATTTTCTTACTATTCTTTTCTTCTTGAATTCTTATTTCATTTTCCTATTTTTACATATTTCTGACAGGCAAAAGCTCATGACTTCAGGTAACATGATTTAAAACAAACACCACCATCACAAGTTTTTTGGGATTAAACAAGATTTTAATGCTAGAAAATTTAGTACTGTGTTCATATTCTCAGGCATGATGTCTTTTCAAAATCCTGAGAAAGGCATGACCGTTCTTGGGCATATTTACAAGTGAACTGTTGATACTTCAGGACCTATTAAAGAGGGAGCATACAGTTAATTTTGAAGGATGTTTATCTTCAAGTTGAGGACACCAGCGTATGTTGCTGTGAACTGCTGGGCTGAGGTGAAAGGGAAGATTAAAGAGGAAGTGGAGTTTATTAATAGACTCATGGATGACAATGGCTTTGCAGTGTGCATGGGTTGAGTTTTGCTACAAGACTGGTTGTAAGAGATGAAAGAGCATTTGAGATGAGAAATACAGCAGAGGAAGCTGTATTAAGTGAATAATAAACGAAGCACTGCACATTCTGTTATCCTTTTATGTTTTTCCCTTTCTCTCCATTATGCACTTAATTAAAATTTTGAAGTGTTTTCCTAGATTACTTTTTTTTCCAGAAACATTTAGGTTGAAAGATATTAAATTGCCTGATAATTTGAGGGAATTAGGAGTAGCTTTTTGATGCTGTTATAAATATTTGGCCTAATTATAAATAATGACTGTAAAAGGTTTGTTTGTATTCATATTCAGGAGCTTTCTTGAACCAAGGGATAGAAGTATTGCAGAGCCTCTTGAAATTGTCATGTCAAAGTAGTTGTCTTGGCATTTCAAAAGCATTGGATTTTTTTTTTTAATAGTAGAAAATTGTGTAAGGAACAGGAAATATTGTTGGCTTTACTGAACTATCAAATAGCAAGTGGTGTTTTGTTTGCGTGTCAGCTAAAACTTACTAAAACTTTTGTGCTTACTTGGCAGAACAAGCTGGGTTGTTGAGGTATTTTTTGAAAAACAGACAAAATTTCTGACTTCAGATTTTCATTATCACTTGATTCAAAATATAATTTTAAAGCTTTCTATATTTACTCTAAGTGGTATTGTGCCTTACAGTGGGCAAGTATTTAGGCATGAGACATACTTTCTTCCCCTAATGTGAAAATCTGCTGTTCAGCTTCATTGCTGCTTTAAAACTCAGTGTGTTATGATAACTTCAAAGACTGAAGCTTTAACTTGTAATATATTACATTCCTTCTACTTAAAATATCTCTTTCACCACTTTCATAAAAGTGGAGTACAAGTAACAAATGAAGTATTTGTCAGATTAAGATGTCAGAGGAGCGAAATAGCTTTGAGGGAGTCTAAACCCAAGGTTTTTTCCAGATCTCACTTTAAAGCAAATAGTTGCAGAATTTGTTATAAATAGGGCTATGAAAAAAATCACAAATGATAAAAGGGTATGGCAGGCAAATAGAACTATTAAATAAGTGTTATCTTTATAAAAGTGTGTATGGAAAGTACAGGAAGTGAGGGGATACTGAAAAGCAACAGATATAATTTGTGTGGGTTTTTTGTATCTGGTTACTCTTCGGAAGATAATCACAGGGTAAACTGTTAAGCCAGATAGCAAAATTGAGCAATGGCTGCAGACAATAAGAATGAAGAGCTGACAGGAAGTGTTGAAGAGCTTCATGGCAGCATGACCTGGAGAAGAGCGCTCTGAGTAGCTCTGGTCCATGCAGTCACTGAAACGGAACACAGAGTGCACAGGGACCTGGCAAATTCTGCTGATAAAACAAATATTTTTATTCTTTCAAGTCATGGGACAATTTCAGGATGCTTCCCAAGCGTTGTAATTGCTAATGAATTGAGCAGCATTTGGCACACATAGTAATTTATTGGAGACAGCTGCTAAGTAGCGCACTCTATAAAAAGTGGCTTAGAGAAGCCAAACAGGCTACCAAGTTGGATACATGATATATTTGTGGGGATGTGTAGGAGAAATAGAAGTAAAATGTGGATATGTCAGTAAAGACATTTTGTAAGGAGCAAAGATTTAAAAGAAAAATTAAAAAAAAAAAAAAGATACTAAGCAAAATTATCAAGTATGTGCATACTAAATCAATACCACACTTGCACATGGTGACATGTGGCACATAATCAATACAGCTCAGTTGTAGTTAGCTCTGCTAACTGCATCTCAGGTAGGAGATGGCAGGCGTTCCTCAGAAAGGTATAAAAATGACTGTTCTTAGCACAGAAGACCAAAAGCAGCTCATATGTCTTGAACTGACAGAAGACTTTTCAGCTGAGAACAGAATTTGATTTTGATTGTGTTTTTGCATGAAAGAGGAAAGTAGCAGAACATGTGTGGACAGAAAATACAGAAAGTACTGTAGGTCAATCAGCTGCTGCTTCTTTGTAAAACAGGAGGAGAACAGCTAAAGTGAGGCAGTAAGTTGATTCAGAAGATAAGCTGGTTGTAAGGTGGCTCTAATACAACAAAGCAGGTTGGGCTTACTTTGGAAATGGAGTTTCTGTTAGATACGAGTGTTATCTGACCTACCTTTGACTATTTTGCAGAGTCAAAATAAATCTTTTTTCTATTTAATGACTGAGATGTAGAGAAATATTCAAGTATATATCGTTCCTGTATGTATAAATGAAAGAGTATTTGCTTATGGTAAATTTGAATAGAGATTTGTTAGTTGTTTACAGGCTTATGAAAGTCACTTTCCAGAGTCAATTTTAACTTCAATGGGCACGTTATTAAAGGGAGAAGGCATTCTTTTAACTGCTTCATCATAGCTTTTTCAGTGTTGCTGTTACATGAGAGGTTTCATTTGGCACGCTAAACTTCCAGGATGTTAAATGCTGCTTGAAAAAAAAAAGGCTTTCTGTAGTCCCAAAATAGCTAACCAAGTTTTCTTCTGTGCTAACAATTGTGTTTTGTTTTGATAATGCATCTTTCTAACAATTCAGCTGATAAGTTTCATAGACTATGTATCAAAAGGTCATTTCAAAAGTTTGGTTCGAAAAAAAGGAACTGTGTTAAAATCAGGAGTGCTTGACTATTACAGTTGCCATTTGGAACATCTTGTTCACTTCTGCAGTAGATGTTCTTTGTTTAGTCAGTCTTTTATTTCTAAAGCTATTCCTAAAGACCATTGTATCAATAATAATAGCTTTATTCACTAAATTATAAATTATTTGAAGCAATAACTATCAAATTGCAATTGGGAGAAGTTCCATAACAGGTTTTTAAGGCATCACTGTGATGCAAATAATAACAATTGAGCTTGTTGATGCAATTTCTTTCCCATTTGAACCATGATTTTCTCATTAGGTTTGTATTACATCTGTATTAAACCTTCATCTTTTAAGAGACTTCATTTCACGTGCTGTTGTTTCTTTTCCCAGATCGTTTCCCTCAGTAAGTGACAATAAGAATGAACGGACATATATCAAACACCCCTCCTGGTGGATATGGAAGTTATTTTCCTCAAATGAAGTAAGGTTATGCCTTTGATTTGCCTTTTATGGACAAAAAAATAGTGTTGTATCTTCTTCTTCATGCTTTCATTTCAGATAGAGCTATAATTATTAGATCCCATGGGAATAATACAAAGGCAATTTCTGTGAAAGAATGTGCAGTTTCCAAACGATGTAACCAAACTGACAGATACAATCTGGCTGATTTTTGTATTACTGTAAGGGAAAAGCTGTATTACTGAATGGAATCATCTGGAACAGAAAAATAAATTGCTGTAGCCATAACATACTTCTTATATTACTCGGAGAGGTCTTTGTATGCCTGAGACATTTAAGGTTAGCTCTGAGTGAATGCATTTTTATGCATAAAAGATGAGGTTGCCCTCTCCGTCAACAAAGCAACTGTTGCCTGAAAGTGTTACCTTGCCTGAGATAAGAGGATTGTCCCTGTATCAGAAGCATGGCACTAGGCTCATTCGTGGCATTAGTGAAAATTGACCTAATCTGATGCCAAAGAACATGTATTCCTGTATGGAGCAGGGCAGCTGTGCTGTCATCTGCTTCTCATATTTTTGTCCCTTTAAAGTGAGTTTGCATGTGACTCATTGTTACACTAGAAGGAAGTTGGATTGCCTTTTCATTTGTTGTAGGCAGTGGTAGTTCTTTTAAGTCTTTTATGAAAGAAAAGCAGTTAAAATTGTTAAAAACAGTTAATGTGTATGTGGGGAAAAAAGCCAAAAGCCTACCAAGCCTCTGGTGGTGGTGGTGTTGTTATTATTATTAATAATAATAATATTATGTAGTGATTTTGATTACTTACATTGTGGTAATATCTATGTGTATACCACACCCCGTTGTATGTGATATTGTATAATGCAACAAAAACAAGCTCAGAAGGGCTTCCAGCCTAAGTGAAACACACTTCTTTGTAGTCATGGTAGAGAACAAATACCCAGTGTCATTACCTCTGTTAGTAATGTCGTAGATACGTGTAGTCCTACACAAGGCAAGGGATTTTGGAATGCTTTTTTCTGCGTGGCAAATACATCTATAGAGAAGTTAACCAGAAATGTTTTCTTCCAGTGGCTATGGTTCCCCAACGTTTGCTCAGGCAGAGAGGGAGCAGAATTCAAGAACAAGTGCAAAAGCTCTTTATGGTAAGGCAGCATAAAGTCTCTAAACTTTTATGTTAAAATTGTGGTTTAAATATTGATTGTGATGTCATGGTGGAAATATTTTATGCATAAAAATTTGAAAGTGTAGATACACATGGATATGTATGTCAACAAAATTAAAGAATAAAGTGATTTTATTCCTTCTAAAGCTAGCTAGGCAAGCTAGAAAATGATTTTATGGTTTACTAAGCAGAGATCTCCTACGTGCTAATTTTTAAGGCTGCAATGAATGTATAAAGCATTTATCGTAAAACCAAGAGTGATATTTATAGCTAAGGTATGCACCAGAGAGAAGGCATTCAGGGGTCTAGCTGTGCTATAGGTTTGATTCATGACCTGTGTCTGCCCCTGCCTCCCCAACTTTATCCCCTGCTAGCAGAAAAAGGAATTTACAGTATTATTCTTGTTTGACATAGGGATTTCATGGATATTAGATTTGATGTAACAGATTTGGAGTCCGATTTGGCCTGCTATTTTCAACAGGCTTTGTGACTGTTGAAAGTGATGTTACTTACAAATGCCTAAACCAACTACAAATGCTAGTATTTGACTTGGCTGTATACACTACTCTGTAGCCCATGGCCAAATCACTGTGGAGGCAGAATGTAGTAATGTTCCTTGCCAGCCAAATTGCACCATTTCCTGGTTGTCCACCTCCACTGTGAATACATCCTGCTGATAGCTGTGCTGGTAATGGAAATACAAGCAGCAATGGAGATGAGAGATGTTCTGCTGTGTAAATCTGTGCCTGTTGTTAAATGCTCTTTTGAAAGTCAGTACAACTGATGAGACTGGAAGAACAAGGTTTGCAGTGAGAACCCAGTCCTGTGCAGGACCCCTCGCTCCTCAGCCTGCTCTCCCTTGTTGCATCTACCACCTTTTCTGCAGGTGAACAAACTGGAAAGCTCAAAGAGAAGTGGTTAATACCTGCAACATCCTTGGTAGTAACTAATCTTTTCTCCCTCCTGTTTCGGGTGGGGTGATGGCTGGGAGAGACCTTAGAGGTTAGGGGAGTGATGGCAACATGCTTTATGGCATTAGAACAGCGTTAACTTTGCCTTTGGAAGGATACCCTACAGGCCCTGAGTTTGGTTACTTACCGATGAGCACGTGAGAAGAACTTTGTTCTATTGGTTGCCTTGTTGGCTTTCAAACTACTTCAAAATTCATGATGCTAAAATCCCACAAAGGAGGCTGGAGATCTCTGAGCTTTGTATCCTCTGAAAAGAGGAGTGGTGTGAAAAAGCTGATGTGGTTTGGTGACTGAAAACACTGTGCTAGAGTTGTGTGACGAATCATAGAATCATTCAGGTTGGAAAAGACCTTTGAGATCAAATCCAACCATCAGCCCTACTTTACCAAGTACACCCCTAAACCATATCTCCAAGCAGAACATCTCAATGACTTTTAAACACATTAAGGGATGGTGACTCAACCACCTCCCTGGGCAGCCTATTCCAATGCCTGACAACCCTTTCAGTAAAATAATTTTTCCTAATGTCTAGGCTAAACCTACCCTGGCACAGCTTGAGTCCATTCCCTCTTGTTCTACCATTAATTACCTGCGAGAAAAGACCAGCACCTACCACTCTACAATGTCCTTTCAGGTAGTTGTAGAGAGCAGTAAGGTCTCCCCTCAGCCTCCTTTTCTTAAGACTAAATAGCCCCAGTTCCCTCAGTTGCTCATCATAAGACTTATTCTCTAGGCCTTTCACCAGCTTTGTTGCCTTTCTCTGCACTCTCCCCAGCACCTCAATACAATGTCTTGTATTGAGGTGCCCAAAACTGAACACAGCACTTGAGGTGTGGCCTCACCAATGCCAAGTACAGGGGGACGATCACCTCCCTACTCCCACTGGCCACGCTATTCCTAATACAAGCCAGGATGCCATTGGCTTTTTTGGCCACCCAGGCTCACTGCCGGCTCATATCCAGATGCTGTCAATCAGTACCCCCAGGTCCCTTTCTGCTGGACAGCTTTCCAGCCACTCTTCCCCAAGCCTGTAGCGTTGCATGGGGTTGTTATGGCCCAAGTGCAGGACCCGGCACTTCGATTTGTTGAAGCTCATACAGTTGGCTTCAGCCCATTGATCCAGCCTGTCCAAGTCCCTCTCTGTAGAGCCTCCCTACCCTCAAGCAGATCAACACTCCCACCTAACTTGGTGTCATCTGCAAACTTACTAGGGGTGCATTCTATCCCTTCGTCGAGATCATTGATAAATATGTTAAACAGAAGCAGCCCTAGTACTGACCCCTGCGGAACACCACTTGTGACCAGCCACCAGCTGGATTTAACTCCACTGATCACCAGTCTCTGGGCCCAGCCATCCAGCTAGTGTTTTACCCAGCAAAGCATATGCTCATCCAAGCCATGAGCAGCCAATTTCTTCACTAGAATTCCATGGGAAACAGTGTCGAAGGCTTTACAGAGGTCGAGGTAAACAATATCTACAGCCTTTCCCTCATCCATCAAGTAGGTCATCTTGTCATAGAAGGAGATCAGGTTCATTAGCAGGCTCCTAAGTGACCACTTGATCTTGAACTGAATTTTTTCCAAGCACAGTAAAGACTAAAAAAATAACAATAATAATGATGTGTATATATATGTATATAAGTGTGTATATATGTAAACACACATATATGTCACGGCTTGAAGTTTGTCTTGAGTTCCAGTGCTGAGGTGATTCATGATTGTTCAGTCCTTCAGTCGTCAGGCAGAAGGTTGGCCACAGTGCTAGTAGGAAAGGAGGCTGGAGTTTTATTGGTGTTACAGACAGTTCAGTTAAAAACTAGACCGGAGCCATCACTGTCTCTGATGTGGTTATCTGATAGCAAAAACTTCCTTGCAATTGCCTTTTTTCCTGTGTCAAATAATCTCTTTGTTTTCACTCGTTTCCTTCCTGAAATGAACTGTTTTCTATTTGTATGATAAATCTCTTGCTGAACTGGGAGGGAAGATGCCCTCTGCACATTCTTGTGAGGGTTTATTTCATCATATGCTTCCTGATATTTCCATCTGAAACGGGTTTTGGCTCGTACTGTCATCTGTTGTCCTATCACTGGCTTCTCCATCTGTCTCCTGCAGCCCTGCTTGCAGGGAGATGTGCAACGTCAGTCGGCGCCAATAGCTAGGGCTGTGCTGGCGGTTTGCCAGCAAGTGATAGAGTGTGGAGCAGCCCTGTTCCCCAGGAGTTGAGAGCTAGTTTGCTCCAAATTGTTAATTATATGACACAGCATTGAAAGATGTTACTAAAATTGTTTTCACACCACATCAGAAGAGATTAGGTGGTTTATATATTGTGTTTATACTCCCATGGCTGTGATTAGGTGTTAGCAGTGAAATTGCAGTGCATTTTTGCATTGCTAAAATACCTCATTCAGAGCAAGAACTGTAGTGTAATAAATTCAAGGAAATCACAAGCAGATCATAGACTAGGTAAAAGAGTCCATTAAAAGAAGCCATCCATGTGACATGCTTGTATTATTTGATACTCAAATGAAATAAATTCACAGTTGACTTCTAAACAACACACTTGCTTTGATAGCTAGTTCCACATAGCTATAGGTAGAAGTTTGTGGCATAAATCTCTGAAAGTGATAGTGTTTGCTCCTCTGAAAATGAGATTTGTCTTGAACTCAGGTTTTGACCTTTCTCCCCGGATGTATAGGTCATGTCTCTTCCACTTTGCTCTCAGATTCAAGTTGAGTTTTTCCAGCAGCTACAATACATTCTTAAAGGGATGTCAGCAATCATTCCAACGCAAACCACAAATATACGGTAGTAAACTAAGTGTTGGGCTTTTCTGCTTGATGACCTGTGGTAACAATTTATACTGTCACTCCAGGATTCTTAGGACAACTTGTGATGGAGATTCTTAATCCATATCCACATGAATTGCCATCAGATTTCAGAGCTTTGTCTCTTTGTGCACTGTACAGGCGCTTTCTAATTTGGCTTTGGAAGGGGAAGAAGGGATCCAACATTACCCTTCTTTGTCTTATCATAACCATAGCACTGATAACGTTTATTACATCTGGTCTATGTTGTTATTTGTAAGACATTGGTGGAAGTCTAGGCATTGAGATTCCTCCCTTCTGTTTTAGGCTTTTAGGAATGGAAAATTTGTTGTCTCTAAAGGTATTGTAGCCCTAACCAGCAGCACTTGTGCTTCAGGTCATCTGTTAAGACCCAGCCAGAGATCTTTTTCTTCTGGTAAGAATTTTCCCTAGCTAGATAAAGAAATAGATTTCTTTTCCTGTGATACATTTCTCTGTGTGGTCTTCTGGACCGTGGCACAAAGCCAGGCTACAGTAGAGTTTATTAAGAAGCTTTCTGCTTTGCCATGTTGCTGCACCCTCTTCTAATTGGAAAATGGGTGAGACAGGACTCTAGCTATGTCAGCTTCTGTTCATAGCTCTGCCTCACTGGACCTTGAGCAATGCTGGTGTTTTTGTCTGAAACTGTGGAATAGTTACCTTTCCAAAGTATGAAATGGTCTTTCACAGAAATAACTGGGGAGAGCACAGAGTTCTTAGTGTAGTAGGGGTGAGGAAGAGAATCAATGATGGCAGTCTTAAGTCCCGCTTTCTGTGTCATGTATTGTCTAGTAGTCTTTTTGTACTTGGCTAAAAGTCTTTGGTCAAGAGGTTGTTTTTTGTCTTCTGGTGTTTTGGATGCTTCCAAAAATGGTATGAAATCAGTACCTTTTAACATCTGTTTGAAACCAGAAACATGGCCCATTCCTGATGATTGGTGGATTCTGTAAGTTCACAAAGACGTGAATAACAGTAGCATCTGTCCACATCAGACAGCAGGAAGAGTATTAGTTCCTGTGGATCAATGTTTCTCTTCCTTTGAAAGGTTTAGTAGCTAGTAGATCTTACAGTCAGGACCTACGAGTGAAATGCTGTGCTGCTTTTAAGTTTATTGCCCTTGCATTGTGAGAGATTTTATTTTGCTCAAATTCCTCTGGGTTGCATTT